GTGGGTGGAGGCATTCCCACAGACCTAGAGGGTCAGTGAAATGCAATTAAAACGGTGATCAGGTAGGGTGAGGCATGTGGTGGAAAGTGTTGGAGGCCAGGTTATGCTCACCTTAATCATATCAAGGCTCACTTCACATCTTAGTAACATTTGGTTTTTCTCAAAATGTTTGATTTCTGTCTGGAGCAGACAATACATGCGCACAGCTCTGTCTCCAGCTATTTGAAACACTTTTGCTCTCTGTGGGAATTTCTGGGGAGTCAAACTGTTACAAGTGCTCACAGCAGGGAAAAGAAAGACAGAATCGTTCTGGAGATTGCTGCCTGAGGATGAGGCAGAATTACATGAAGAGGTCACTTCACCATCTACATGTTGAAGGAGAGCCTTGGAAGCTCAGGGCTGCTGCTGCCCAGGCCTCATGGATGGCTCCTGGAATCCTTGTCCTTGCAGTGCTTTGATGCCTGGCTGGAAGGCACTGATGTCATCACCCAGCTCAGGCCCCAGCTCCCTGAAGGCAAGACTTCCTCCTCCTTAGTCTGGTTGCAAACTTCATGAGCAGAGGGTGCCATCAGATGTTAAATACTTACTCCTGGCTTCGCACAGATGATGCTGTGGAGTCTGGTAAGGAGAGGGCGTTGGTTGTGTTAGATGTGAAAAGGCTCATGGATAAGAAACTGGTGTGTGCCTGAACAACCTCTTGTTAGGAAAACTATTAGGAATTCAAGCATCTGATGGTGCTGATAGGAGGAAATGGTATAGAAGTAAGGGCTAATTTTCTCCCAGTTTTCTGGGGTTCAGTTTCAAGTAATTAGTGGCATTCTCTTCACCTAGTGAGTCACATATCCATATTTTTGTGATTTTTTTTTAACTTTTAAGGTATCACTTATATACATAAAAATACCTATGTTTTAAGTTCACAGTTTAATGAGTCTTACATAACCCTGGCTAAGATACAGAAATGGTTATAACCTCCCAAATTTTTCTCATGCCTTCTTTCAGGCAGTCATGTCCCTTATAGTAACACTGTTCTGATTTCTATTATTTAATTACCCAGATCAGCATATACAGAACATTCTAACATCCCAGAAACTTCCCTCAGGCTCTGTCCCAGTCAGTACCTGCCTGCTAGGTAACTATGCTTCTGGCTTTTATCACCATAGAGCAGTTTTGCTTGTTCTTGAACTTTTCACATAAGTGGGGTCATCATGCATTCTTCTTTTATTTTTCCTTTGTATGAATTTTTTTTTGAGATTTACTCATGTTGCTGTGTGTGTCTGCATCTGCAGCTGGTTCACTTCTTCTCACTGAGCAGTAATCCATTTTGTATATGTGTATCGCTTTATGGATCCATAAGCTCCTACCTAGGTCTGGCTCCCAGGGCCTCTCCATTCTCGGATGCTCTCCTTCTCAACATCTTCTGAGTCAGCTTCCTTCTCTCCTGACTTCTTTGTGTCAATCCTCGAGTGAAGGCTGGAAGGTGAGCTCCATGCAGCCAAGATTGTGTCTGCGCCTGGGACAGTGTGTGACCAGCAGCAGGGACTCGACATTCATAGAATGAGTGAATGAATGAATGTACAGGGGACATCGTTTTAATTGTTTACCAGTCTATCCCAAGTAACTCAGAACTAGGAGACCCCCAGGAATTTTTCTTTGTTCATAGACTCAACATGAGCAGTCCCAGCAGAACACTCCCCTAAGCGCTGTCTGCAAGAGCTTCCCTAACCTCTAGACCAGATTAGGTCATTTCACAGGCTTCAGAAATGCCTCTGCCACCCCCATCATGACTTTATTACACTTCGTTATCACTGATTTACTTGGCTGCATTAGATTTCATGCGCACAGTGCTCTGTCTGGCAAATGAGATACATAGGGGTTTCCTTTTCCTTCCTGATGACGCTAGCCATTGGACTGGATGGCCCTGTACATTTCCTATACTGTCTTCTTGAAGAGTTCATCTTAGAGATAGAGAACTGATATAAATAGAATAGGCTTTTTCTATGTATTTGTAAAATAATGTGCTACTTACCAAAAAAATCATTCTGTGCTATATTTTTGCTTCTGTCTCTTTGAACCACCAGTACCTGTGCCTTCTAAACAATGCCAATTATAAATCAGTTGATCACTAAAAAAGAAAAGAATAAAGCACACAATAATCTGATGGCTTCCCTGGTGCCACATAGAGGAAACACTGTGATTAAACTTACGTGGTCTATTCTTGAGGGGATGGACAGAGAGGTAACCATGTGGCTAATCTGCACACAAATGTGTGAAGTCGCAAATCATTTGAGATAGGGACATTTATATACTCAAGGGGATGTTTGTTACTATACTTGCACATGCCATTAGAAATACATGAAAAGAAGCTAACCATTTGGAAAGATTTAATACTTTATTTTCTTTCTGGCGGTCAGCAACTGAATACTGCTGTCTGAAATAGGAGAGCAGAAAACCATGGTGAAAAGTCGATGGAAAAGAACTAAATGGGGCCACTCCCTCAGCACCCAAACTGTTGAAGTCTGCTGCTCTTAATTCTATAGAGGTCTAGTCTGTGAATAATTATGTTAAGGAATTGGGCAGAGTCATCAGAGAGCTGCAAAATATCACCCCTGGGGCTTCTCTGGAGACTGATGGGAGCTCTGGAGAGTTGATAATAACAATCAAAGGGTCCATATATTTAACATGCACAAAGGATGAGCTCAGAAATTATCTGCCTGCCAACCTAACTTCTCTACCTGCAACAAATTATCCAAAAATCAATTTGCAAACACCTTTGAGATAACAAGGTCTTGAGTAATAACCTCCATGGCTTTGTAAAGAAAAGCATCTAGCTTGACTAATCTGCTTAATTTCCTTCTCTGACCAAATGGCAGGCTATAATAGAGGCAATCTGGAGTTGTCCCTTAAGATTTGCTTCGAGTCACACTGAGAAAATATTGTCCACCTCTGTTTCCTAGCAATTATTCTGTTTCTAGAGAATCCTTGCTTCTAGGTAATTAATTAGAAGGGAAGTGCTGAGTGCGTCTCTATCTCAAAGCCCTTACCTGAGTTCCAAGCTAAAATGTATACCTGCCTTCTATCCATGCGAATAAACCACAGGCCCTCTACAAGTGAGATGTTCTCAAACAAATGCACATTGTATTCCACCCTCATGTGCCTCCTCTGTGCCTCCCCTTTCTCCTCTTCCTTGTTCTACTCTTCGTTTCCTCTTGTTCATATCCTTGGTCCTAAGAAAACATAAGATAAGACAGACTGAAGTGATTTGCACAAAGATGTTCATTGTAGCATTATTTATCCTAGCAAAATATTAACAACTCACGTATCCAGCAATCAGCGAATGCTTAGTGTGGTAACCTGATGGATTGTTCTATAAATATTAAAGGAAGTGATGATAAAGCTCGAGCAATATATGCAAAAAAAAAATCCTTACAATATATGTGAAGGAGGAAAAATGAATCTACATTGGGTCTATGCGTTATTATAACCACACAAAAAAATGTGTCAGTACATAAATAAACATCGTAATGGAACATGGAGGAATAAAAATGGCTATGTTGGATGGTAGAGAGATTTTCTTTCTTCCATTTTTCTCCATTTTCTTCCATTTCTTCTCATATTTTCTCTTTCTTCTGTTTTCTTTATTCTGCCATTTTTACTACAAATAAAAATAACCAATATATTCAGTTCCATTTTTTTAAAGATGCATATTAAGAGGCAGACAGCCTTCCTTGGTGCAGGTTGGTCCGGGAAGTCATGCAGATGTAAGTTTCATCTTACGCTACCTTCTCCATGACCTTGGTTAGGTGACCTGATTTCTTAGGTTCTCTGTTTTGTTTTGTTTTGCTTTGTTTTGTTTTTCTCCATTAAAGTGAAGGTGATAATATTGTCCGAAGAATTACATGAAATGATATGTGTGAGATTTTAAAGTACGTAAGAAGTACAAGATAAGCGTTAATTTTTGTAGCTTTGCCATGGGCTAATAATTGCGAGGAAGAGTCCACAATTCATGCCTGCTGAACCTTTAGTCTACTTAGCTGACTGTGTGGAACTCAGTGGAAGAGAGGTGGCAGCACAGAGCAGATGCAAGAAAACTCAGCATGACTCTTCCTTTGACCCCTCATTCCTGCTGAGTCTGCTGTGACCCGTGACTTTCTCTGCTGGAAGAAACCTGCTGGGGTTGAGGCAGAAGCTGAATTCTTGCTGTGCCATCATTCCTTTTCTACTTAGGCTCTTATCACCCTTTGGAAAGAACTTCCACTAACAATCTATGTGTTCTGTGTAAGAAATGTTTGTAGACCTTAGGCTCCTCTGGGTTTTGTGCCAAACTTCACTTCAGCAAAAGTAGGTTTTCCTTTGAGGCTAGAAAACAGAGTATTCACCCAGCAGCTTTGCTGTGTTCTGGGAAAACCATTTCCTCACATGGCCTTCTTTCTTTCGTGCCTTTAAATAAAGGAGATAAGGTAGGTGTTGAATATAGCTACTGAAGAAATACTGATTCAGGTACTTACATGCAAACCCTTAAAGTAGGGCATGAATGGGATTTAAAAAGGGTTTTCAGGCCGGGCGTGGTGGCTCATGCCTGTAATCCCAGCACTTTGGGAGGCTGAGGTGAGTGAATCACCTGAAGTCAGGAGTTCAAGACCCAGCCTGGCCAACATGGTAAAACCCCATCTGCACTAAAAATACAAAAATTAACCAGCTGTGGTGGCAGGCGCCTATAATCCCAGCTACTTGGGAGGCTGAGGCATGAGAATTGCTTGAATCAGGGAGGCAGAGGTTGCAGTGAGCTGAGATGGCCCCATTGCACTCCAGTCTGAATGACAGAGCAAGACTCCATCTCAAAAAAATAAAATAAAAATAATAAAATAAAATAAAATCCAAAGGGTTTTCTGACAATTTTTTGTGGCTGTGTTGTGAATTCTATGCCTTGTCATCATGTGCTCGGAGTCTGCTCTGTAAATCATTTGAGTCTGACAGTCCTTTGCTGATTGCTTGTCTTACAGAGCCTCCCACGCCCATTGCTCCCCCAGAGCTGCTGGCTGTGGGGGCCACATACCTGTGGATCAAGCCAAATGCCAACTCCATCATTGGGGATGGCCCCATCATCCTGAAGGAAGTGGAATATCGCACCACCACAGGCACCTGGGCGGAGACCCACATAGTCGACTCTCCCAACTACAAGCTGTGGCATCTGGACCCCGACGTTGAGTATGAGATCCGAGTGCTCCTCACACGACCAGGTGAGGGGGGTACCGGACCGCCAGGGCCTCCCCTCACCACCAGGACCAAGTGTGCAGGTAAGATTTTTTTTTTTTCCAGGCTCCATTATGAGAGGCCGTGCTGTTGCCAAGACTGGCCTTCCTCTTACCTTCCTGTGACAAATAATTCCTAATTTTCTTTGAATGTGAATGTGCTTCCTATTGTGGATAAAAAAGGATCAAGGTTTTGGTTTTTTTTTTTTTTTTTTTTTTTTTTTTTTTTTTTTTAGAGGACCTGCTGGCTGTGGTTGCATTTCTGGGGGCTTTCTAGTTCTGACTGTGATTCTGAGAACCTCCTGACTTTAGCTGGGTCATGGGAGGTTCCTGTATCTAATAGTGTTTCTGATGAGACACACTGGCTCTGTGTCTCCCAGAACTGCTGGTGCCATTTATATGTCTGAGGCTTTCTAATGCTAAGAATGTCTTTGAGGGCTCTTGGTTTTGTGTCTCTGAGGGCCCTGGCCGTGTTTCTCTGAGGGTTCTTGGCTCTGTTTCTCTGAGGGCTTCTGGCTCTGGTTGTGTCTCTGAGGGCTCCTGGCTCTGACTCTGCACCCTGAAGGCTTCATTTAGACTATGTCCTTGCGGTCTTCTGGTTTTGGTTGTATCTTTAATGTGTTTCTAATTCTAACATTGTTCCTGAGGCTCCCTGAGCTGGGCCTGTGACTCTTGGTTTTGACAATTTTCTTGATGGTTCCTAATTCTAGAGTTGTCTCCGAGGGGCTTCTGTTGCCAACCATGTCTTAAATGCCTCCTGGCTCTCACAGTATCTCTGAATTGTTTCTGGAACTGCCTTAATCCCTAAGAGCTTCCTGCCTCTGTAGCCCCTGGAGGCTCCTATCCCTACCTAAGAGTCTGGGTTGGGACTATTCCTCTGAGGGTCCTCTGGATTCCACTCTATCTCTGTGGGCTGCTGACTACACCTGTCTCTCTGATATTTCTGGATGCCATGTAAGAGTTTGCTGGCGGAGATTGTGTCTAAGAGGAGAGATTCTCTGGATCCAACTGTGTCCCAGATCTCCTGGCTTCTACTGCATTTCTAATCAGGGGCTATTGGCTAACAATGTGTGTCTCACTGTATCTGAGATGGTCTGGCTCTGGATGCAACTCAAGAAATTAAAAGAACTTGCAGTTTATTTGTTGCAAATTACCTTATTTATATCTTTTTTTCACTCCAAGTAACCTTTTGCTGTACGAACTTACATTTCATGTATACACAAAGGAAAAGAGACTCAGTGCTTTAAAACTCTTTGTCTAAAGTCATAGAATGGCCAGTGGCACGGTCATCAACTGCACTTAGATTTTCTGATTCTCAGCCTTTGATTTTTGGCCACATCATGATGAATAAAGAGAGAGAGAGAGACAGAGAGAGCATTGTATATACAGCTGGGGATGTTCTAGTGGAAGCGGGTGTGGTTCAGGAAAGCAGGCAGCATGGGTTTCAGAAAACAAAAAGGAGTCACTGGGGGCATCTGGGTGGAGGGGAAGGAACCATCAGTACAGGAACCATGGAACAAACAGCAAGGGAAAGTGCATACAGTTCTGCCATAACCTGATATATAGGTCCTTAAAAATCACCACAGTATATCAAGTTATGAAATAAAAACCACAGGGATTATGGAAAAAATGGGGCTGGAGGGCCATACTTCCCTAGTGACACATCAAAAAAGAGGGGAATCTAGTAAAACTTGCGGCACAATTTTATGCATGTGAAATGGCCAAGAAGTGCATCCATCCAGGTGGAGTATTCCTAACCTGAACCTCGGAAATCCAAAATGCTCCAAAATTTGAAACTTACTGAGTGCCAACACGATACAACAAATGAACATGACACTGTTAACACTGCAGAAAAAGTGCCTGTAGATGACACGGCAAGCATTGGTGATGAGCTTATTGAAGGACTGGAGCAGTATGCATTCATAGCAGAACAGGAAACCTTGTCAATTTATAAAATCAGAGACATCTAAGACAAAAATCCTTGTTAACGAGGCAGATGACTCTGGAGGAAACATTTTTAAAAGCCATCGAGCAGAATGCCTCTTTCTCCCTAGAGGATCCACTTCCTGGTTCCTCACCTGCTTCTGATGTTTGTTCTCATCTAAAACAATAAAATGCAGGGTGTACGAACTCTTCATCAAAGCACAACATCACAGGGAGAGGACTGAAAGCCAGGATGTTTGTTGCTGACATTCAACAGCTGATCCAGGTATCTGCTGAGGCTACTGTGCTGCTCAGTTAACCTGAACACATTAATTTTTTATGGTATTAATGATATATCCCTTATTCTTTTTTACTGTTAAGCACTTATGTGTGAATAAGCATAAGAAGATGATTTCTTATCAATAGCATATACATTCAAAGTCAGGAATTATGGTGATGACAGACAAGCACAGAACTGTCCACATAAGTGGCTGAGACAGTTACATCTCTGCTTTCTGACGGTTCGATGTACACAAACTCGGTTCATCTACAACATCATTTAAAATATTATATAAGATTGCCTATGATATATATATAAAACATAAATGAATTTTGTGTTTGGACTTGGGTCCCATCCCCAAGATATCTTAGTAGGTATAGGCAAATATTCTGAAATTCAAGAAAATCTGAAATCTGAAACACTTCTGGTCCCAAGCATTTTGGATAAAGGATACTCAACACAGATGGTGTGTTACCTTGAAAAAGACCTGAAGTTTGCTGTGGAAGTGGGCCTCAGGGAGGTTACAGCCTGTGAGTGAATGTGAAGTGGTGGAAGGAAAGCTGTCTGAAACTGGGGGAAAAGGTGTAGCTCAGAACACAGGTAGTGAGCTGAGGGGGCAGGTAAGGGTTGGAACTGTGTGTGTGCTTGTATTCCTAGGTGGCTCAGTTCTGCTGGGTGCAGGGTTCTTCTTCACTAATGTTTCTCACATACAAAATCACACATAAGCAAATGCGGAATTCGTGTTATTCTCAAATTGCCCTTTCATATATTAATTATGTTGGAACAAATTTGCATTTTCAAAGCAAGAGTTATAGTGGAATTGGCTGTAACTGTTCTTAAGTATCTCAGTGATGTATTGTGGTAGTATGTAACCCAGGTATTTTCGTTGCTTGAAAATATTCCTTGTAAGGTTATTCAACCACTATGCTGAACAGAGATGCCATTTTCTTGATTATTTTCAAAACAGGCCTTTGGTAAAATTCCTCGTTGAAACCTGATTACAAAACTTACTACTTTCAAAGGATATAATGATATGTTATTAAACTGGGTAATACCTTATCTCAGCTTTGCAATGCAATATTCATCCATAAAAATAATTGATTTGATCCTACTGATGAGACTTCTCTCTTTCCACAGGGTAAATGTAAGAGTTTCCAGGGTTTTTGATCTTTATAAATGATATTCAAAGTACTTTAGCAGCCCCCGTGGACTTATTTGCTGATGATCATATAATACATTTTGAAATTCAATCGCAAGATGATCATCTCAATAAAAATTTACAATCTATTGCAAACTGTTGCCATGACTGTGTAATGGATTTTACTTGTTGAAAACACAATAGTCTGGCTATCAGTATAAAAATTATGAGTTGAAATGCAATTGTGGTATTTTATTTTTAAAAAACGTTGGTGTTTAAGTTACAGCTAAAACCTTGAATAATCCACATTTTACAAAATGTGTCATCAAGAAGATAATCTTCCTTCCCATATCACCACTGATGGTGGAATGTTTTTTGCCCGGTAATTAATTTTTAAGAGAATTCCAGGGCTGATACCTATTTGTAGGTGTTGTTTATTGGCATTGATAGTCTGAGATTTTCCTCCTTTTCCTATTCTATTATTAATCACGCTGGAAATGTACTTATTATTTTACAAAACAGAAAGTGAGAGAGTATGTAGAGTGGAAGGTATAATTTTTGCCCAGAGGAATTTAGAGGCTGGGTTAAGATTCCAACAAAACAGCAAAAAAGGTAAAACATAAAGGCAAGCATTGAAATAGCATGCTTCATGTAGGAAAGACAGCATCAGCATGGAAAGAGTAATGGTCTCAGAATCATCTAGGGCAGTGGTTCTCAAAGTATGGTCCCTGGACCAGCAGCATCAGTATTGTTATAGACTGAATATGTATGTTCCTTTAAAATTCGTATGTTGAAATTCTAATCCTCGAAATGATGATATTAGGAGTTGGCCCATGTGGGTGCTGATGATGTCATCAGGGCAGAACACTGATGAAAGAGATCAATGCCCTTATAAAAGAGGCCCCAGAGAGCTCCTTCATGTCTTCCACCATGTGAGGATCCAGGAAATGGACCCTCACTAGACGCTTAATCTGCTGGCACCTTGCTATTGGACTTTCCAGCCCCCAGAACTATAAAAGGTAAATTTCTGTTGTTTAAAAGCTACCCAGTCTATGGTATTCCGTTACTGCAACCCAAATGAATTAAGACAAGTATTCCCCTGGGAACTTGTTAGAAATGCACATTCTCAGATCTGTCCCCCGACCTACTACATCAGAAGTTCTGGGGTTGAGCCTAGAAATCTGCTGTAAGGAGCTCGCTGAGTGATGTTATTTCATACCCAAACTTTAGACTAACATATACAGTGACAAGCCAACATGGCTCTTTGGAAGGATGTTTATTCCATAGCTTGGTCTTTGCAGCAGCTCTGAGATGTAGATGGGAGGAAAACAGACTCCGAATTGTTGGACCAAGGTCACCAATCAGTTAAATGCTAGATCTCTTGGCCAAAGAAACTCTTCATCACAGGATTTGATGGAGTCTTCAGCCCTGGGGACCTCCTCTGCTTACAGGTGTCCTCTTGAGGGTGGCACCGGGTAGTAGGGAGGTTGGTGACTATGGAGATCAGCTGAGAATAAATAACTACTACACAAAAGTTTCACTCCATTCTATCAAACATTTACTTGGTCTTTTCTTTGTGCCAAATTCTGTGCTAGGCACTGGTGGCAGAGGTTGACTTAGTAAGGACGTGCTAGTAGCAGGCAGAGACTTGGCAGCAGTAAGCTACGAGCTTGGGTGTAGCACAGAAGATGCTAGAGAGGCAAT